AAAATGAATCATTTTTAGAGACATCTAATAGAAAAAAGTATCAGGGTTGTAGGAGTTTGCAGAGAAATGAGACAAAAGAAAAAAGATGACACTGACTGTGGGTATGGAAAACTTTAAAAACTTAAAGAAAAACGTGGGGGGCGGGATAGCTCTTTTTGCAATCATAATTCTTAATTCTTTTTTGTCATTCTAAGATGCTTATTCTTGAAACACTCATAGCCATGTCCTACTTTAGATCTCTCTATGCCACCTAAAAAGAGCTGTGACTCTTAAATTGTTATCCCAAAATGTCAGTAGGGGCCAGTTTTTTTTTTTCCCCTCTGGAGCTCCCCTCCCCACTGCAGGCCATTTCCTTGTTCAACTACCCTTCAAAATATATCTTCAGGATCCTTTCCAATTCTAAGAAGTTAAAATTCGTAACACGAATGTTCTCAAATCGTCCTGAAGGTGAACAAGGATTGGAACTCCTCCAACTTGTGGTTGGGAAAGCAGAAGTGCAGCAAAGAGATATCAAAAATCACAAGTTTGTTATGGACAGAGATACAATTATGGTGAAGGGTTCCTTTATCTTTCTTACAATCACCCTCTAGAGTAGAAGCGCTAAAACTTGGCTTTTTACCAGATTCACCTAAGAGCTTCTAACTGATAAAGAAGTCCAAGCTCAGTCTTGAATAGTGATTGACTCAGTAGGTCTAGATAGGGTCTAGCATTTCCATTTTAAAAGAGCTCTCCTGAGAACTCTGTATTACAGCCAACTTTGAATCACTGCTCTGCTCACCCTTGCCATGAATAAGGAATATGAGTTTTGGGTGGCTTAAATTAAAACTCTGATTGTAAAAGGCCATATCCTAAAAGAAAATGCTAAACTGACAAAGACAGAAAGCTCAAAAAAGACAGTCAATATCACACACGCCTACCTTTTTGACCAGTAAGTCAACAGGAGCCAGACATTCAGGAGTGTTGTTTTGGGAGTTGTTCACCACGGTAGAGACTGGATGAAAGGTGATGTTTTCTGTGGGGTGGATTAACTTCAGAGCTTCCTGAGTTGAGACCTCACCAAAGTCAAGCCATTTAGAGACTGCCTCCTCTCCATCTAATATGGCAGGCATCCTAGCCCATGAGGTCAAAATATGGGTTAGAAGAGGCAGAGAGAGGGTAGGGAGAGAAGGGAGAGAGACTTGAGTTAGTTGAGAGCACAAATCATCACAAAGAGAAGTTTGCCCTCCCACATGTTGATTGCTGCCATGTGCTCTCTGACCACAACTTGACAGAGCATGAAATTCAACACTAGGAGAGCCAGTTTATCAAGTTCTATGGCAAAGAGAGTGAATAGTAATTATGATTGGACCCAGTGCACTCCAGTGTACATGTTAGCAAACTGGTGACTTTTCTATGATGCCCTAGCCTAGAATTAAAGGAGAAATAGATCCTGGAAAACTTGTCTATCAACAATAATCTCCAGCCTTATAACCTATGACAGATTTACAGTAAGAAAGACATACCTACATAATTGTGAACAAAAGGAAACTACACCTTAGAAAGCTAAGAGGCTGTCTGAGAGTCATGACTCCTGGTACCCAGGAAGATGTTAGGAAAAGATTATTTGTTTAGCTTCCAGTTTTATGGTCAATGCACAGTGTGGTACACATTTCATTGGAAGGTGATACAATTGATTTTAGGAGATGAATGCATAAACATCCATTTTAATAATTATTCTCATTTCAACAAATCAAACATATTTTAAAAATATTTTACAGGGAGTAGGTAAATGTTTTGCTCACCTCCTCCTACAACCATCTTAAAATTTCAACTAAATTTAGAACTGCCCTTGAGAGCCATCTGAAGGCTAGCTCAACAGAACTCACAGGGGTTATAAAGGATAAAAAGAAGTCACCTTGAGACTGGTAGCAGGGGCAGAAATGGGCAGGCCTCACATCCATGTATAGTGGTTAAGAATAGAAAGGAAACCCTGGTCCGTTTGGCTTAGCAGTTAGAGCATCGGCTTGCAGTCCAGAGAGACCCAGGTTCAGTTCTCACTAAGGGCACGTACCTTGGTTGCAGTTTGTCCCCAGCCCTGGTTGGGTCATGCGGGCAGCCACTCCATGTGTCCCTTTCACGTCGATGTTTCTCTCTCTCTCTCTCCCTCTCTCTCCCTCCCACTCTATCTGAACAAAAAAAAAAAGGAAAAATGTCCTCGGGTGAGGATAAAAAAAAAAATAGGAAGCACTATCTCAGTTGTGGAGGTCTCCAATGAGGAGCAAGGGGTCGCAGCCCCACACTGGGCTCCCTAGGCCCACACCAAGCTTCCTAGCCTTTGAGAACCAGTGCTGAGAAGTGGAGTCATCACAACAGCTGGCTATGAAAATCAGTATGGACTCAGTCCAGGTGAGGGCTGCTGCTGTACATCCAGGCATCTTTTTAAAGGCCCTGCACACAGATTCACTTGTTCACAAACATTCACCCTAAGCTCAAGAGAAGAGACAGCAGCTCAAAAGTGCCAGGGACATACAGGGAGAAACTGAATTGTCTGACTTCAGGGAGAGGGCTTGGGAGGGTCAGCTATTTCTGGAACTAAAATGCCAACAGGTGATATTTTTCCTTTGTTGAGCCCTCATCTCAAACAGCTGGATGGATGCCAAATCTGAGTTGCCAAATCTGAGTCTCTATTAACTTGGATAACATTGCTCTTGCCCCATGCTGGGGATTCTCTGAGACATCGCCCCACCCAATGCACAGACCTGGCCTGCACTGCAGATTTTTCTAAAATCTCTCAAAAGTCCATAAACCTCAAACAAGCAGGTCTTGGTGTGCCCTGTACCTCTTGCAAAGCAGCCCCAAGCTTAGCACTAGTGGCTGCTGCCCTAGGTTCATAGCATCACCACTCCCAGGATTCTTCGAGCCCAGTGCAGGCAGCTACCAAACACAAACCACATAGTTCTTACCAGGCCAGACACAGGCAGTGACTGACCTTAGCCTGCATCAGAGCCCCTCCCAAGAATCCCCAGAACCAGCACACCTGGTGACTGGCTTCAGACAACACCAGAGCAGCACCTAATTAGCATAAATGACACACCCAACAGATGGACTTGTCAGGCATGAGAGCCCTGCTAAAGTGAATCCTGCTCTGTAGGGTCAACCCACATACAACAGGTCAATCACTGTAGTCACAGTCTTCAGCCAGTCAGCCTATAAGGGTCAGTTCCACCCACTGATGTGCCAACAGCAATGAGGGGTCAACTACAATAGGAGAGCACACACAACCCACACAAGGGGCATCTCTGGAGCAGCGGGCTTAGGTGAACAGGGAGACTGAGCCCAACAGGACACCTACTGCATAAGGCCACTCTGGCAAGACTGGGAGATGTAGCAGATCTACCTGATATTGTACATAGAAACAAACACAAGAAGGCAGTCAAAATGAGGAGACAAAGAAACAGTTTTCAAATGAAAGAACAGGACAAAACTCCAAAAGAAGAACTAAACAAAATGGAAGCAAGCAACTTATCAGATGCAGAGTTCAAAACACTGGTTATAAAGATGCTCTATGAACTTAGGGGAAGAACAGATGATGTTAGTGAAAACTTCAATAAAGAGATAGGAAACATAAAAAAGAAGATAGAAAACATTTAAAAAACAATTGGAAATGAAGAATACAATAACTGAAATGCAGAATACATTAGATAAAATCAATAACACATTAGATGAAGCAGGGGATTGAATCAGTGATTTGGAAGACAAGATAGCAGAAAACACCCAATCAAAATAGCAAAAATAAAATAAAAACAATTACAAAAATAAGAACAACCCTGGCTGGTGTGGCTTGGTTGATTGAGCACTGTGCCTTGCACCAAGAGGTTGCTGGTTTAATTGCTGGTCAGGGCACATGCCTGGGTTGCAGGCTCAATCCGCTGGTGGTGGGGGGTGGGGGGAGGCATGCAGGAGGCAGCAAATCAATGTTTCTAACTCTCCCTCTTTCCCTTTCTCTCTAAAATAAATAAAAACATATATATTTTTAAAATGAGGATAGTTTAAGGGATTTCTGGGACAACATCCAGCATAACAACATTCTCATTTTAGGGTACCAGAAGGAGAAAATAAAAAACAAAGGATTGAAAACATATTTGAAGAAGTAGTAACTGAAAACTTCCATAACTTGGTGAAGAAAATAGACTTGTAAGCCCAGGAACCAAAGAGAGTCCCAAACAAGATGAACCTAAAGAGGACCATACCAAGATACATTATAATTAAAGTGCCAAAGGTTAAAGAAAAAGAATCTTAAAAGTAATTAGCTACATATAAGGGAGCATCTATAAGACTGTCAGCTGATTTCTCAACATAAACTTTGCAGGCCAGAAGGGATTGGCATGGAATATTCAAAGTGATGAAAAGTAAGGAACTATAACCAAGATTACTCTACCCAGCAAGGCTATCATTTAGAATCAAAGAACAGATAAAGAATTTCCCAGAGAATGAAAAGCTGAAGGAGTTCATGAACACCAAACTGGTTTTACAAGAAGTGTTAAAGGGGCTTCTTTAAGAAAAAGAAGAAAAAATTTACAATATGAATAAAAAAATATCACAAAGAAAAATAATTTTCACTGACAAAGGCAAACACATAATAAAAACGGCAGATCAACCAACACTAAAACTAGTATGAAGGTTAAAAGGCAGAAAAAATGCCCTGGCTGGTTTGTCTCAGTGGTTAGAGTGATGGCCTGTGGACCAATGAGTCCCAGGTTCGATTCTGGTCAAGGGCACGTACCTCGGTTGCAGTTCATCCCCGGCCCTGGTAGGTTGTGCGGGAGACAACTGGTCAATGTGTCTCTCTAACATCGATGTTTCTCTCTCTCCCTTCCTCCCACTCTATTTGAAGATAAACAGAAAAGTATCCTCGAGTGAGGATTTAAAAAAAAAAAAAGGCAGAAAAAGTAGGAAGATCATGTGTAATTACAACAGTAAATTAAGGTAACCACACAAACACACACTAAAAAATAATGACAGTGCTTGCTTCAGCAGCACATACACTAAAAATTAGAACGATATAGAGGAGATTAGCATGGCCCCTGTGCAAGGATGACACGTAAATTTGTGAAGCGTTCCATAAAAAAAAAATAATAATAATAATGACAAAAGCACAAATATGAAGGGGATGATTAAAAATGGTAGTGATTATAGAATGTGTTTGAACTTAAGAGACCAACAGCTTAAAACAGACTGCTATAAACACAGCTTGGTATATATGAAGCACATGGTAAGCAAAAACCAAAAATATATGAGAGATATACAAGATATAAAGAGAAAAGAATCCAACACAACACTACAGAAAGTCATCAACATATAAGAAAGAAACAGTCTGGCTGGTGTGGCTCAGTGGTTGAGTGTTGACCCATGCACCAAGAGGTAGCCAGTTTGATTCCCAGTCAGGACACATGCCCAGGTTGTGGACCCATTCCCCAGTAGAGGGCATGCAGGAGGCGGCCAATCAATGTTCTTTCTCATCAATGTTTCTATCTCTCTCTCCTTCTCACTTCCTTTCTCTCTCTAAAATCAATAAAGGAGAAAAATTAAAAAATAAAATAAAATAGCCCTGGCCGGTTTGGCTCAGAGGTTAGAGTGTTGGCCCGCAGACCACAGAGTCCCAGGTTCGGTTCCAGCTAAGGGCAAGTACCTCGGTTGTAATTTGTCCTGAGCCCCAGTTGGGGTCGTGTGGGTGGCAATGTGTGGGTGTCTCTCTCTCTTCCTCCCTCTCTCCCTCCTGCTCTATCTGAAGATAAATGCAAAAATATGTCCTCGGGTGAGGATAAATAAAATAAAGTAGAATAAAAGATTATGTTTAAAAAAATGAAAGAAACAGAACCGTAAAACAATAGGGCAATAACTACATACCTATCAATAAGTTATTTAAATGTACATGGATTAAATGCTCCAATAAAAACATGGATAAAGAAGATGTATATGTATATAATAGAATATTACTTGGCCATAAAAAGAATAAAGTCTTACCATTTGTGATAACATGGATAGACCTAGAGGGTATTGTGCTAAGAGAAATAGCTCAGACAGAAAAAGACAAATACATATGATCTCACTTATATGTGGAATCTAAAAAAACAACAACAAAATAAATGAACAAACAAGACAAAAACAAACTCATACAGAGAATAAACTGATGGTTGCCAGATAGTTGAAGGGCTGGGTGAAAAAGGTGAAGGGACTAAAAATTGCAAATTGGCAGTCACAAAATAGTTACAGGGTTGTAAAGTATAGTTTAGAGAACATAGTCAATATTGTAATAACTATGTATGGTGCCAGTTAGGTACTAGAGTTATCAGGGGGATAACTTTATAAGTTATATAAATGTCTAACTATTATGCTGTACACCTGAAACTAATATATCAAATGTCAACTGTAATTGAAAAAAAAAAATTTTTTTAAATAAAATTAAGTTGATGCAATCCTTCCCAAGATATTTTACAATCTCTGAAATCCAGATGCATTTTATGATGAATTGCAGCTTTATTTTTTTAAATATGTTTTTGTTGATTTTTTTAGAGAGGGTGAGATAGAAACATCAAAGTGATAGAGAAACATTGATCAGCTGTACCCTGCACGCCCCCCACTGTGTACCAAGCCCAAAACCCTGGCATGTGCCCCGACCAGGAATAAAACCAGGACCCCCCAGCCCATGGGCTGACGCACAATCCACTGAGCCACACCAGCTGAGCTACTTAACTTTTTAATGGTGAATGGCATTTCTTAACTGTATTATAGTTTAGCACTGTATTATAGATTACTGGGCAGTAATTGGCAGCTTTATAGTTTCTTAACAGCATATAAAATGATTTAAAAATCGATGGTGTCTTAAATTAGATGAAATGGGAATTTATTTTAAGGTAAATTAGCAAAAAACAGAACAACTTTATCACATGAGAGAATACTTTCACACACAATGCTTAGGACAAGGTGAAAATAGGTAATTGTGATATGTGCATTCTTTTCGGTAAAACATCAATATCACTTCTGAGGGCACTCAGACTCTGGAAGAAATTGTGAATGTGTTACATGAGTATAGTCAGTCCTGCTAATACTCATTTTAAAAATAGGAATGTGGGACTTCCGCTCAATATGGCGGTATAGGTAAATGCGGTATGGCCTCCTCCCACAACCACATCAAAGTTACAACTAACTACAGAACAAACTGCCTCATTGATGTTTTCTTTCTTTTTTTTTCCCTTTATTGATTTTAAAGAGAGAGAGGTAGAAACATCGATGAAAGAGAACATCGATCGGCTGCCTCCTGCATGCCCCCACTGGGGATTTAGCCCACAACCTGGGCATGTGCTCTGACTGGGAATCAAACCGGTGATGTCCTGTTGTATGGGGTGATGCTCAATCAGTCAGCCACACTGGCTGGGCTCATTGATGTTTTTCTCTCTCCCTTCCTCTCTATCTAAAAAATCAATAAAAACATATTAAAAAAAAAAAAAAAAAAAAAAGAAGGGAATCTGTTCCAATGTGATTGATATATTAGAGAACAATTTAAGTATAATGCAGATTTTGCATTTGTTTAGGTAGTTTTATCTGTGAGAAAGACAAGGTGAACACAGAAAACTGCACCCCACTGAAATAAGCCATGTATGAATTAACAAAATACACACATGTACAAACCTCAAATATTGACAGCTACCTTGATTCACCACATAGTAGTATCCTCCAAAGTTGTGTTTTGCTTTTAGTTTGCGTTTTTTAACTTCTCTCTATATAAAAAACCAATTCATTCAACATCTCAAACATGTCTGAGCTTCCTAACCCAGTGCATGCTAAGCGGTGCAAGCAAATGAAACTTACTGGATGTGTACCCTGACTGGGAATTGAACCAGCAACCTCTTGGTGCATGGGTCAACACTCAACCACTGAGCCACACCCACTGGGCACAAATAAAACTTTTAAGTATTATGGAGAAGGTTGAAATAACAAGCCATTTTGAAAGTAAAAAGAGAACATGTGATATCTCCTGAGCAACAGACATAAAGGAATCCACACAAATGACAATGTTGTTTTGTAAAAATAAAAGGAATGTCCATGGCTGGGACAACTTCAAGAAGTGTTGTAAAGTTAATACCAATCAGGCCTCAAAGAACAGAAGCAATGGAAAGATTCTTTAATATATGGATTAAATAACAAATAGTAAAAAAATTAGATGCTTTTTAATATGGAACTTCCGGTGAAGATGGTGGCGTAGGTAAACATGGTATCACGTCTTCCCACAACTACATCAAAGATACAACTAAACTACAGAACAACCATCATTCAAAACTGCCTGAAATCAGGCTGAATGGAAGTCCTACAACTACGGAATTAAAGCAGCAGCCACATCAAGACTGGTAGGAGGGGCAGAGGTGCAATGGGCTGGTCCCACACCCACGTGTGGTGGATAAAAATCAGGATACCTCGGCTGGGAAGGTCCCCCTGAGGACTGAGGGGTCCATGTCCCACACCAGGCACCCCACTCAGGGTTCCAGTGTCACGAAGAGAAGTCCCCATAACCTCTGGCTGGAAAAACCAGCGGGAACTGAGGCTCAGGGAGGCTGAGGTGGCTGGAGCCCCAGGCAGCTCCTCTTAAAGGGCCTGTGCATGGACTTATTGGACTCATTCCCTCTAAGCTCGGAGGGGAGGCAGCTTGAGGGGCACCAGAGACATACAGGGAAGACTTGAGCTGTTTGGTATTGGAGCGATGGCTGGAGAGGGGGCTTTCTCCTGGACAGATGTGCTGTCAGAGGCCTTTGTTCCTTTGCTGAGTCCTTCCCTGGGGCAGCAGACAGCTGCCAAGTCTGGGACTCCAGCAACCTGGCTCACAATGGTAGCCCCGCCCTGGTGACTCCCTGAGGCCCTGCCCCACCCAACTTTCAGGCCCACCCAAGCTGTAACCATAGGATTGGCCTGTCTCGGATCCTGCTTCAGGTTTTCCTAAATTCTTTCAAACAAGCAGCATCTGGTCTCAGATAGCCCCATACCTCTCGTTAAATAACACACAGAAACAAACACAGAGAGGCAGTCAAAATGAGGAGACAAAGAAACAGGTCCCAAATAAAAGAACAGAACAAAACCCCAAGAAAAGAACTAAGCGAAATGGAGATAAGCAACCTAACAGATGCTGAGTTCAAAATACTACTTATAAGGATGCTCAATGAACTTAGTGAGAACCTAAGAAAACTAACTTAGTGAGGGCCTCAAGAGCATAAAAAAGAACCAGTCAGAAATGAAAGATGCACAGTCAGAAATGAAGGAGGCACTAACTGCAATAAAGAATAATTTACACAGATTCAATAGTAGAGTAGGTAAAGCCGAGAAGCAAACCATCAATTTGAAATATAAGGAAGAAAAAAACACCCATTCAGAACAGCAAAAAGAAAAAAGAATCCAAAAAAATGAAGATAGTGTAAGGAGCCTCTGGGACAACTTCAAGCATGCCAACATTCGCATCTTGGGGGTGCCAGAAGGAGAAGAGAGAGAACAAGAAATCAAAAACCTGTTTGAAACAATAATGGCAGAAAACTTTCCTAACTTGGTGAAGGAAACAGACATACAAGTCCAGGAAGCACAGAGAGTCCCAAACAAGATGAACCCCAAGAGGCCCACACCAAGACACATCATCATCAAAATGCAAAAGGTTCAAGACAAAGAGAGAATCTTAAAGGCAGCAAGAGAAAGGCAGCTAGTTACCTACAAGGGAGTTCCCATAAGGCTGTCAGCTGATTTCTCAAAAGAAACTTTGCAGGCCCGAAAGTGGCAAGAAATATTCAGAGTGATGAAAAGCAAGAACCTACAACCAAGATTACTCTATCCTGCAAAGCTCTCATTTAGAATCAATGGCCATATAGTTTCCCAGACAAGAAAAAGTTAAAGGAGTTCATCACCACCAAATTGTTATTATATGAAATGATGAAGAGTCTTTTTGAAGAAAAAGATAAAATACATGAACAAACAAAATGACAATGAATACATATCTAACGACAATTGAATCTACAAACAAAATGAACAGGCAGAACAGAAACATTCTCGTAATTACAGAGAACACTTTGTTGGTTGCCAGATGGGAGGGGGGTTG